TCAGTAAGGGGCGATTATTAGGTTATTATTTCCTCTCAAACTTTACAGATTATTGCTAGTTTACAAATTATTGGAGGGGGGGGGGCTGATTAGGACTATACATTTTTAACCCACTCCCAATTAAAAATTTTTCATTGAATTTGAACGAATCTAAATGTATATATACACTCTGAAAAACATTAGGGCGCTCCCTCGCTCCCCCGCCTTTCCCCCTTCGTGCGGCGCCACTGACAAAACCTCGTCCAGAGTATTTACTATAGGTTTGATGTGTCTTGTGTTAAAACAAAAGCCACAATGAACAATTTTCAGAACAGTTTCCAATTCTGGTTACGTGTGAATTGCGTCTAAGTTCCATAACAATTTATACAGAGATACGGTTCACTTTAATGCTTCGTATTTCTAATTCGTGTAATATAGAATGCACTAATGCAATTAATAATAAGTATGACTGTGATCCGTTGTGGCTTCAACTGAACCGCCGGATGTTTCAGTTGCGTCTCCAGGAGGTGGTTGTGCTGTGCTATCCTTACTCATGCCAAACCAAAGCTGGGTCGTAGATTTATCATCCTGTACGCAACGATGTACTGCTTTAACACAAGCAGAAGGAGGATTATAGTTGCCAAAATAATCGTGCTTAGTGCCGGAACAAGACAAACAGTTGAACGTATGGACATGCAAGGGCCAGTTCGAAGTCTGAGAAAGATTAATTTCACAATCACTTAAATTGTATTCTCCAATTTTACCCCGCCCATTGGCATTGCGAATCATAGATGTAACGATGTTCTCAAGAACATCGACGTTTTCACTTCCATACGACTTTTCAATCTTTCCAAGCGGTATTTGAACAAAGTCGGATTTCTCTATAACAAAGTGTTTCTCGTAGTCACAGGTAAACTGCAGAAAAGATGAATTATTTTTAATAGACTTCATTCTCGGTTTTCTAAGACGATAGCGGCTCCATGTCAGAGCATTTTCACTGATAGGAAGGTTGTTCGCTAAAGATTTCTTGAACTGATCAAGAGATTTATTTGCAAAACTGTAAGACTGCACCAAAGTCCAAGCACCATCAGAATCAAAATGGCAGTATACTTCATACAATGGGCCTCCGACAGAATCGACTACTTTGTACATGCCCGATACCTGGGAACCTTTGGTATATCCTTGGCATGACGTAATTGGCTCGTCACAATTGGCTCCATGGTAACCCTCGGGGCATTCACAGGTAAAACGTTTCCAGGGCTGTTCTTGGGAGTTGATTGGTTTACATATTTTGTTGTTGGGACAGAGATCTGATTGTTGACAACAGTTGTACTTCATTGAACAACTCATGCCTGAACAATGGTCGTCCAGTTTCTAAGACGAGAAAATTTAATATCAATGGTTATATATCGTGAATATTAATAACAAAATATTAGAAGTACATGTATAATATTTACAGAGAACTCGCACTGAAATATCTCAAAAATATGACACATGTAAATTTAATTTTGCTTGTTTGTTCAATAATATTTGAGCCGTAATCATGGCCATTTGTTTGTGGAACGTGCGATAATATTATAAGAGCGTGCCCAAGTTTTCGTATCTCCGATTCTCTATGCACCAAATCCCGCCTCTCCCCGTTTCAATGTTGACGTGGCTGTGAATAAGTCATCATTGTGTCATGACCATGCAGATCAAACAATACAGCATTCAAAGGATGTAGGCAAGGGTTTTTAATTAAAGAACATAAGAACTCTGAAACTCGTTCCACAACAATTGACCAGGATTATAGTTAAATGCATTACCTGAAATGTTTCTGTTACCTGAAATGTAATTTTTAGCATTAAAACAATTTATTGTAATCAACGCATATACACACCTGCAAATGTCCTGTCAAATGTCGCATTTCGTACGTAGCATAGGTGCAGCCATCTTCGTCATGAAGCAATGAACCGTTCTCTTTCTTGTGACTTGAACACAGTTGACATTTGGTCTTGTTACAAATTTGGAACGACTGACACCGACAGTTCTCCAAACAGTGCTCCAGACAATCTGCTATGTTTCCACTTTTAATGTTGAACGTTCCAATATGACAGGATTGGTCAAATGCTTTGTTTTTCTCAGCTTTTATTGTGAATTGTGGTTGACTGTTGAACATTGATGTATTTCTGTAAGACAGCGTTGCCAAAACAATGGCGACTAGACTATATAAGTTAAAAACCATATGGTAAAAACATGTATAGGTAAAGCCTCGACTTATTTCTCTCTACTTATTTATAAATTGACATAATTATGTCATGTACTTTTTTCCCCCAGCCAGGGCACTAATCCCGCACGGACCGCACGGCTATTTGGGACAAGGAAACCATTAACATTTTCTAAAGTTCATCAAAAATCGCTGGCGCATGGCTATGTTTCATCGTGCGTGATGGGAGCATGGTCATCCTCACTGATCTCAAAAATATAGCTGATGCCAGGAGTGAAGGAAGCTAAGATTAAAGAAAACATGAAAGAAAGTTTGGAAAATCATTTCAGTTGTAAAGCATTTTTTTAATTTTTCAATTTTTAGCATTTTTCATGAGCAGAATTTGAACTGCTATTTATCTTCACCATGCAATTATGTCACTCAGAAGGACCAATTTCTATTAACCAGTCTTCGCAAAAGGCCGTTTCGCTCGAATCATTTTGAGTTATGTAATCTTATGCGTGTTGGACGTAAACAACATGTCTTGAAATATTGTCGATTAACCTTAAACTAGAAAAATAAATGTTCACATCTAAGACAAAGATCAGTGCCAAAGTATAAAATCTGCTCTGTAAACTTACGACGAAGTGGAGAAATATGTGCATGAACTGTTTATTTGGTGATTTCAACGTATATGGAAGCCCTCTTTCCAATAATATTCGCTTATCGCACAGATATAATAGTTCAAATGCAATGATAAGTTACCTCTTAAAGTACGTCTCATGCAGGAACTGTGTTGGAAATTTAAATGCTGACCCATTACATAAGATTATCGTTTTATTTACATCGTTGTATAAAACGTTTTGATCGCATGTAAGGAATTATTTCTCAGCCCAGAGACATAGCCCAGCGCCCCAAAGACTTAACATTAACGTCCTTGTGATTCCTTGTGAATAGATGGTTTGGAAACTCATTAGAATAACATAACTCATTATCTATGTTGGTCCATATACGGAGCGAGAACTTTTCGGATGCAGGTTCTTGATGTGAGATACATTATTATTTTACTGTCAAGGAGGCTAGGGTTAAACAGATTATTGGCCAGGGTTAAACAGACCATCGACCTATGTATCTAGTTAACTCAACGGGGTTACAGTGCCCTAATACACCCAGCCTCATACCCAGGGTCTTTTCTTTTGGGGAGAAAAGACACTGGTAGACGCTGATCACGTGATCTGCTAAAATCTAGCATATTTTTAATTGGATTCCTTTACGATAATCATACAAAATGCAAATTATAAATTAAACTATAAAAATCATCCAAATATCAAATATTTATTGACGTCATCTCGGATTGCTAATTAAAAATCTGCTAGATTTTAGCAGATCACGTGACCAGCGTCTACCAGGGTCTTTTCTTCCCAAGAGGAAAGACCCTGGGTATAACGAGGTTGTAACGCGTCCTACTTTATTATTTTACTCTGTCTAATGCCAGACAATTTTACTCCTCAATTAACTTATTACAATATTGACTACCATTAAACAGGATAAAATTAGACCTAATTACATTACGAGTAACATATAAACTAGAGCGCATTGCCATTATGGTACAATGCAATTAACTTATTTTACTCGTCAAAGGGAGAGCGCTAGCACTCAATGTGTTAACCTGGGGCCGGTTGTTCAAAAGCGGATTAGCTTAATTAACCCTAGGTTAACTTAAAATTCAAAGCACGATTCCTAACAGCTTGTTTTTAAATTTGGAAATATTTCTTCACAAATCATGTCTGGATCAATAGGAGTTTCTTTTCTGACTTTTTGAAATAAATGGTCATGCAGAAATATGCAAACTAAAACAGCGGGTTAAATTTTAACCCTGGGTTAGCGCTAATCCACCTTTGAACAACCGGCCCCAGGCTATCTGCCAATGTGTCTAGTTAACCCACTAACTTGCATTGTGTTCTTGTGTCTATAACGCCAGATGATTTTATTCGTCAAGGGGAGAGAGCTGGCTCTCATTGGGTTAATTAAAAATAAAGCATGATGAGTGTTGGTCTGCGGTATGGAATTTAGAAACATGAGCATACGGTGAGTGGTTGTAAATCCCATACATATCGAAAGCAAAGTTAATACTTTTGATAAAATTAAAGGGTTACTTGGGTTTTAGAGAGAGGTTAAACATTTATGAAACCTTTGAAATTTCTATATGGATTATTAACAAGTTTGATAACTGATAAGTTAACTCGAAGAGACCTCAAATTAGAATTGTTTCAGAATGATTCGAAAGTTGACCTGCTCAAGGCAACCAGTTATCTGCAAAAGGAATTTTAGCCAATGGATCTCTTTAAGGATTAAATTATCTTATGAGCTCATTGTTCAAGAAATGGTATTTGTCGAGAATGGTTAATAATTATAATATGGACTAAAATTTGCATGCTCGACTCTCACTTTCCCACTGGAAAAATATTTAAAGATGATAAAGTTAAACCAACTGAAATTGAACAATTTTCCATCCACGCAATGAACTTTAAAACATGCATGTATATCATTTTGTTATATAAACATCGATGTTATGCAAAAATCCTTCTTTGATTAATTAAATAATAAAACTTTAACAATATTCTCTGTTTTACTGATTTCAAATCTAATTTAATTACATGTTAATGAAATATTGTAGCTTTGGTCCGCGTCTTTAGGGTGATTCAATCGAAGGGATATTGAATTTTGGCATTAAGATTATTAAAATTATTCCATTAGAATCGACGTTATGGCGGTTTAAAGAAGGGGGAGGGGGGTCATCAAACCTATTGAAGCATGATTTCAGGTCCATTGGTGAACCAGACGTTATTTTAAAAAGCATAACATTAATTTGGTTCTATATGGTAGACCAATTCTAATAATCTAAAAACAGACTTAAAAATTGCCGCGCAAAGCGCTTTCTACACAAGCTTTAGAAAAGTGTGTTTTGAAAATGACCGAATTGTAAACCCGTAGAGGAATTGAACAATTATACATGAAGTATATATAGGTAGTAAGAATAACCGCAACGTGTGACTATATAAGAGTTTCATGACGTCGATCAACGTTCATGAGGCCATGCATGTAAGTGCAACGTTTATGAAATGTTTGTAAAATACCCTAATCGTAAAGTGATTGACCCCCTACCTCAAAAATCTTTGGGACATTTTTCTCCGAAGTATTTCTTGCCTAAACATCGTGATATTTTAAACTCAGTGACAAGAGCGTCGTTGTCTTGGCTCCAGCTGTTTTGCACAAAGTGATATAACTGTCAGTTCTGGTCGCATAATTCAGTAATAATGAAGTTTTTAAAATAATTATTCATAGACGACACTTAATAATTATATTGCAATTGGGGAACATGTCTATATGTCACATTGCGGTGCACGGTGTTGTCAATATGGCGGGTGATTATGAAATATATTTTTTAATAAGCTTCAAGCTAGGCTGCATGCTACAAGTTTACTTCAGCATTCTATTATAATTTCAGTTGGGCAGATAAAAATTTCAGAATTTCTCAAAACCATTCTCTGCTCCCATATAAACAAAAATAAAAAGCATACGTATTATTGATTAATAACACGTACAAAAACAAAACAAAAAAAATTCAAATGAACTTAAATAAAGAAAGGGACGCATACATGCAATGTTCACCGCGGCCATCTGTCCATGCATGCACCTTTCGATCACAACCATTTTGAAGTCGCGCACTTTTCGAAATTATTCTGCCCCCTGCATGATTATTCCTTCATCGGATGAAACAGACTGTATAGTGGCAACATTGATATTTTAAAAATATCATGTCAAAAAGAGCGCGCCGTTGTCTTGCCTCCAGTTTTTTTGCAGAGGCAATAACTGTTAGATAATATCACTGATAATATATAGCTATACCCTCTTTGGTATAGAGCATCGATCTAATAATTCGATATTATATAGTATTATGGCTATGGACAATGGTATTTTACTGGAAATTATAGACACTTGTAGAACGTATATGCCACTATACATCCGGGACCAGATGCACAAAGTTCGAAAATTTCACGCCATTTTCATTGTTGTTGTTTTGAAAATACAAATGGTCTTTAGTTCGTATATAAAACGAAATTAACGTTGGAAATAAAACGAAAACATTTAAATGACATCTTGAAATAAGTAAAATTTATTCTAGTTTTATGTTTGCACTATAATTTGAAAAATATCGCTGTTATACTGGTCTTTCACGCGCTTATTTACATATCGTCTTTGCGTGTATTTTTTGCCGTCACTCTGAATAAGGCCATATAATAAACAGAACATTAAACGGTTGCGAGAACATATGGATTTATGTTCTCGTGCCAAAAACAATATCTCACTCGTGAGATACTGCATGTTATTGTTTTTGCCATTCGAACATAAAATCCATATCTCCTCACAGCATGCAGAACTGAATTGCGAAGGACGCAGTTCACACATGGATGTCTGAAGCCCGAACCGAGAATCGAACCTACGAGCTCATGCAGAGGTGAAAGGCGTATGCTCCTACGATTGGTCCACCAACGCCCCGTTTCGTTATACGAAATAGCTCTATCATGCATGCACGCAGTAACTATATACTAACTCTCTAGATGAATGTCTATAAAGAGGGCACCCTCTAGCCATTATAACATAGTTCAATGTTAGGAGAAAAGCCGGATACCTAATTGGAGGTGAAAAATACATGCTGGATAACTATACTGCGGCCATAAAACATCCAACTATATACTTCTAATATTTTAATCCCCGCGGGTTCAATGCGGTATAGAGACCCAATGCGCGAGTGCAGTGGCAACGCTTGTAAAATGTTTTTACCTTATCGTAAATCGACTGAGAACCTACCTGAAACGTTTCCCGATCATTTTCTCCAAAATAATTCTTGATATTTTAATTAAACTTGGTAAAACATGCACAGCGCTGGTATCTTCACGCAAGCTGCATTA